TAATTCGTTCCGCGAGTCTCTTTGTCTGGCGGTTTTTTCGTCTTGCGAAGCAACCCTATTAGCGGCTTAGCGGATTAGCGCTATTAGCGGTTTAGCGGCTTAGCGGCTATTAAAGGCTTAGCAGCTTAGTGGCTAAAAGGCTATTAGTGGCTTAGCGGCTTAGAAAAAGGGGGGGAAAGCGAAAAAAATCGCAAGACTCGCAAGACGCTTCCGTCTTGCGAAGCAAGCCCATAGGGAAAATCGTCTTGCGAAGCGCATCGAAAAACGGAAAACCCTTTCATCTAGTGGGTTTTTCGTCTTGCGAGGCATTCGTCTTGCGGGGCACCACTGTATTAGGGTATTCGTTTGTTTTATATGGGTTTGCTGTTTTTGTGTTTTAGCTGTTTTTAATTATCTCGTGCAAATCACATTGAGATAGTGGTTCAGAAGGTGATTCAACAACAACAACAACAACAACAACAACAACAACAACAACACAGCATTTTTTAAAGACTGAAAGACCTGAGAAAATACAATGATTCTCACAATGCTTTTTTTTCTGGAAAAAAGGTGGCAGGGACTCATCACGAAGTTGCTGTTGTTGGCCCTGTCACAGTGCCCCCCTCCCCCCCTCAGGCAGAGGCTGAATGTAAGATGTGATTAATAAACTCAAGCAGACCACTACCACCTGCAACAGAAGGCTTCCTTTTCATTTTTTAACCACACACACACACACACGCACACACACACACACATTTTACAGCTATCGCCCCTATAGGGCAGTGGTGGGGAACCTCAGGCTTAGGGACTGAATTTCTAGATGTCCTCTTTGGTTTTGTTGTATGTCTTCTGTATTTCCTGTTACTTAAGTGCAGTGTGTGTATGTGTGTGTGTGAAGTGACAAGCCTAATTTCATCTTGGTACACCAAGTTTCTTTTGCACAAATAGTATTCTCAGTTTTTTTTTTCTGAGGCAGTGGTGCAAGGGGAATGTGCCTTGATTTACTTGCTGTTGTCATTTAGTCGTTTAGTCGTGTCTGACTCTTTGTGACTCCATGGACCAGAGCACGCCAGGCACTCCTGTCTTCCACTGCGTCTGTGGCATTTATATACCTTCCTTCATAGTATTTATCATCCCAGGATGTTTTAAGTACCAATGAGAACAAAGCAATAAGAAGATATACAGCAACACAATTCAAAGCAGACAACCCCCAAGCCAAATTCTGAACTTGTTCATCCGGGGAGAACCTTTGCCCATGAATTCTGCTGATTTGTATAAAATGGCCTTCGGGTAAACGAAATGTTTTAGTCATGTAAGTAATCGGATTTGATGTAAACATCAGCTTTGCTGCCACCTAGTGCAATAGTGTTTTTATCTTTTTTTATTCTAGGGATAGATTCCAAGCATAACATTCCATCCCACTCGGTTCTTGTGGAACAGACAGACAGTTTTTATGGTGCAATTCTCCCTCCATGTAATGTGTATAAAAATGATATACTGGAGAAAAGTGTGCATATAAATGCATATATAAGTGGCGGGCGGGGGGGGGAGGGGAACATACAACAAGAATATAGTTTTGGAAAGTGTAAATTAAATAAGTTTACCTTTAAATGCAGAGTGAATTAAATTTCTTCCCAACCCCTAAGTTCAGCTGAACCCCAGATTCTTCCTTGTTTGTTTGTTCTTTGAACTAGAAGCTCCCTGCTTCAGGGCTGTGTTTTAGAACAAGGCCACTGAGCCGTATATAACCTTGAAAATAAGTCAGTTTTGTTATCACCATCTGTGTGAAGGCTGAATCCAATACTGTAGTCAAGGTTTAACAGACAACGCATACTATTTATGAACATAACGGTCTTAATACAAGAAATGAGGGATCATGTTCTGGTAGAAAAGGAGGTCTTTAAAGTAGTTATTGTTAAGTTGTGGGTGAACATATCAGACGACACAGCGATTCTCCAAACAGCTCTTGTTTATTCACAGGCCAGGACAGAACTGAACTGAAGGGTTCAGTCAGCCTGCTTATATAGAGCTCCAGTACAACGTAACTGTGACAGTTTTCTAAAACTATCCAATCACTGAACGTCACTTTCAATCCCTTATTTGCATAACTATCTACAGTATCCCCTGCTGGCCCAGGGTGAGAACTTCAGTACATAACAGTTATGTCTGGTGTCTCTCAGAAATTCTCAATGGATGTGAACCACTGGTGTATTTGGTGAGAAAAAGCCCACTTAGGTGGTCCATAGAAAGGTTGTGGAGCAGCTGAGTATATCTGCATTTGGTTGATTGATTCGGACGACAAATTTTGCAGAACTTTGCTCACCCAAAGCAGGGAGATTCACTACATTAAAAATGGAAGATGTCAGAAATTAAAATATGAATTATGCACTTTGATTTGAAGAACCAAAAAGGTCTAATACGTGGTTCGCAATTTTCAGGCTGTCATTGAAGAAAACGAAAGCTTGAGAATCTAGGTAAAATGCTTATGAGACAAGAACTGCATTGTCCATCAGATGGCAGACTGAGACTAAGAAATCTCTATAGTAGATTGCATAGTAGATTGCTGTTTTTCTATGTCCAGGAGGGCAGTTTTTTTCCTATGGCTTGCAGTTCAGGGCAACTATTTATGGCTCCATCTGCCATAAATGAGCAGTACCTTTCTCAGGACCAAAATTGAGCATGCAAGCTTTTGAGTCCTCCAGAATGCTTCATCAAGCAAGGTGTTTCAGGGAGGAAGAGTTTAGGGGGTCGGAGGAGGATGGGAGTAAAAATAAATAAGGCTGGATTTTGAAGGCGTGAGATTTGCGTTTAGACTCAGTCTGAAGATGAAAATTACAGACTAATACTCAGACCAATAATAATAATAATAATAATAATAATAATAATAATAATAAATTTATACCCCTCCCATCTGGCTGTGTTTCCCCAGTCACTCTGGGTGGTTCCCAACAGAATATTAAAAACATGATAAAACATCAAACATTAAAAACTTCCCTAAACAGGGCTGCCTTCAGATGTCTTCTAAATGTCAGATAGTTGTTTATTTCCTTGACATCTGATGGAAGGGCGTTCCACAAGGCGGGCGCCACTACCAAGAAGGCCCTCTGCCTGGTTCCCTGTAACTTGGCTTCTCGTAATGAGGGAACTGCCAGAAGGCCCTCGGAGCTGGACCTCAGCGTCCAGGCAGAATGATGGGGGTGGAGACACTCCTTCAGGTATACTGGGCCCAGGCCATTTAGGGCTTTAAAGGTCAGCACCAACACTTTGAATTGTGCCCGGAAATGTACTGGGAGCCAATGCAGGTGGCAGGTTGCATCTGGGATTCTGCAGTGGAAGAATAATGATAGGGATGTGGGAAACATTTCATAGAATTATAGAGCTGGAAGGGAGTCCGAGGGTCATTGATCTAGTTCTCATTTAAAGGAAGCTCTATCTAATTCATACCTTCTGAAATAATACGTGAATCGAAACACAACTGATGGGAAATTCACGCCTCTGAAATTTGCACTTCTCCAGGTTTTGCAATTCAGCCAAGTAAGGTGTGCATGAAATGTATATACCAAAGTAAAGCATGCATAAAAGTGCATATATTAATGAAAATAAATCACAAACTGATGTTGAAATATAGCAGAACTGTAAGAGTTGAAAAATGAGAAACTGAAGGAAACTGAAATGGACAGATTCACTCATCCCTAATGGCTGGTTTCCATTTTTGAAAACATAAAGCGTGGCTGCTACCTAGAATTGTATTGTTCCTGGTTCCCGGTAAGACAGACATAAAGAGAAGCAGGGCCATCTAGCCTGCGGTTATCTGAACTCCTGCATTGCATCACAGTACTGGCCTGTGAAATCCCATGATGCACAGACATGCATTGTCCTATAAGATAGTACGCCTTATGTAACAGTTTCCCATCCTGCACAAAGCAGTACAGTGCAGCAGCTTGACAAATAGAGGGAGAGACCTGCTGCCAAATGCTTAAATCCTAAAGCTCTATGTGGATCTACTAATTTCCTGGTATTTTCTGTTTGTCAGTACTGGAAGGCATCACACCAGTCCTTCCAGATGACTGAGACATTTGTAGTGGAAGCTGGGGATGTACGAGGCAGGATGTGGGAACAATCGGGAAATTTGCTGGGCATTTTCTGTTGATGCTGCTGCTGTTGTTATTCAGACCTCTTAGTTGCTTGTCATCTGAAGGTATGCAAGTATATATAGCAATACATGCATACTATATGTAGATATATGCATTGTATCATAAAAACAAAACAAACCCCCAAAGTCATGACTTCCCCCAAAGAATCTTGGGAACTATAGTTTATTACAGAATTGAATGCACTCATTGAGAGCCAGTGTGGTGTAGTGGTTAAGAGTGGTGGACTCATAATCTGGTGAACCGGGTTCGCTTCCCTGCTCCTCCACATGCAGCTGCTGGGTGACCTTGGGCTAGTCACACTTCTCTGAAGTCTCTCAGCCCCACTCACCTCACAGAGTATTTGTTGTGGGGGAGGAAGGGAAAGGAGATTGTTAGCTGCTTTGAGACTCCTTAGGGTAGTGATAAAGCGGGGTATCAAATCCAAACTGCAACTCCTCCTTGCTGTGCTCCTTAGGCCTGGCACTCCTGAGCTGTCTTTGTGTCTTCTAATAAAGAGTTAACTTCACTTACACAGTGTGATTTATTGCTGGTCACTCCTGGCAGTAGGCAAGTCCTAGTTTGGACTGTGTGCATGTATGAGGGAAGGGCTGTAGTTCAGTGGCAGAGCACCTGTTTTGCATGCAGAATATCTCAGGTTCAATTCCTGGCATTTTTGGGTAGGGCTGAAATCCTGGAGAGCTGCTGGCATTCAGTGTAGACAATACTGACCTAGATAGACTAATGGTCTAAGTCAGTATAAGGCAGTTTCCTGTTCCCCAAACATCCAGCTCCTGTGCCAGATAACAAACTAACCCTTAAAAATGCTTACAGACATTTTTTATAAATTAAACTGCTTTATTTGAAGCTTTTTTTTCCGATCCCAAAAGAGCAATACATTAACCGACAGTTCCTTAGCCACTCCTTTGAAACACAACAGCAAAATTTCACTTCCACATTCTCTTTTCAGAGTTACGAGAGATTAAATTTGTTGAAAGAATCACGTAACATTCACATTTGCATAATTTCCACCTATTTCCTTAATTTATTAAAAGAGCAAGGATGTCGATGCCAGAATCACAAGACACTGTAAATATGAAGTTGTCTATAGTTGTCTACTCAACGCAGACCTACTGAAATTGTCGGGCGTGAGTAACTTAGGCACGTTCATGTCAACAAGTCTACTCTGAGTACAATTTAGTTAATTGGTTGGATTAAGTCTAGCAGAAGTCATTGGCCTTTTAGGGTAATCAGAAGCAGGAACCAATTCCCTTAGAACTTATCTTTCAAATTAGGGTAGAAAAAGGTCTGCAAATTTGCATATATATTCTGTCTGCTGTAAGCAATATACATACTTAACTTACAAAGCTTAAGTGATTTTTTAAAAAAGATTTCACACTTCCCCATTTTGCAGTTTTGCTTCATTAAAATAACAATTTAAAAAAAGAAATGTAAGAGCAAAATATGGACATTTTGTTTCTTCTGGAACATGTTGTGAGGGGATTCATTTTCTTTTACCTGTGTGGAAGCAATATAAACGAAATTAAATAGAAATTCAGAAAGAGGTATTTTTAAAAATCCATATAGATCACAATGGACAAGATACTGGACAATGGACAAAGGCATTCATTGTGTACATTACAAAAAAGGGAGGAAATTGTTATCGTAGTTAACCAGACGTTAACCTAATAGGGTATTCATAAAAATACACAATATCTTTCCCCCCCTGTTATGTTTTCTACATGGGTACTATTTCTTGTTTCTTCTTTTCTGTGTCTTATCTTACGCTGTGCACTTGCAATTTTGCACTTTTTACGGTATTTTTCATTAAAGTTTATAGAATAAAAAAAGGTAATCTCAAATGTAAGACGATTGATGTAATCTTACTCAGTGCTCAAAAGGAAATCTCAGTGAGTTCAGTGGGGCTTGCTCTCAGCTGAGTGGGTATAAGATTGCAGACCCTTCCTTCTTTTGTGAGAGCATCTCTCCCCCAATCCTAGCCCTCTTGCAGCAGGACGTTCTTAGAGCAACTTTGGACAATCAATCAATCAATCAATCAATCAATAACAATAGAATTTATATCCTGCCCTTCTCCCCAAGGAGCCTGTATAGGACGCAGGCTGCCTTTAAAACCCGTCCAGAAATTTCAGTTGGTCCAGGACAGACCTGTGAGATTGCTAACTGGGAATGGGCGATATAAACACAGTGGGCAGCATGTTGGGGTGGTGTCACTGACCTGACCTCCCAACAGCTGAGTTGCTGCGGCTTATTGGGAAGGAGAGGGGAAGGTTGCAGGAAGTTTGGTGCAGTTCAAGAGCATTGCTGGTGTGTTTGCGCTGCGCTGACCTGCCCACCGCCTTGCCCAGCTCCCTCCTTCCTGGTAAGCAGCAGTGACTAACCCGTCGGGAGGTCAGGCGAGCACAGCTGCCCCACCATACAATCCGTTACTGACCAGTGTTTGGCCTTCTTTACTAGGTTCCAAGTCCATTTCTCCTGGAAGGTATTTGTTCCACCAAGCCATTAGTCAAATGAACTGCAATTTGGATGGATATCAATTGTTATATTGATGTTATTGTTCCTTTATCATTTTGGTAGCTCCCCCGATTGCTGCACAGACCCACATTTGAGTATTTCTGAACTCAGGAGATTGGTTATTTTTTGTCCCAGGTTGTTAATTCATTTTACTGCTAGAGTGAGTAAGAACAAGTCATGAACTTCCTAAGTAAAGCCTGTTCCTGAAATAGCTGCTTTTAGCATACATTCAACACATGCGTTTGTGATCCTTCCATTTCTTTCTTTTTTAATATAATATTTATTAATTTTTTCTTTTTTCCTTTATAACAATATTTCTTCATCACATATATCTTTCCTCAAATTGAGCTTTGACTTCTTCCTGTCCGATCCTTCCATTTCTTGAGCAGTTCCTGTGCTCATCAATAGTTGCATTTTTTCAATGTCACATAATTAATTCATATATATATATATATATATATGCAGGTTTTGGTGTCCTCGGGTGTCTTCCCGTGTAAAAGTTGGGGTGTCTAGGCGACGTTTCGACGAGGTCTCACTCGTCATCTTCAGGCTGGTGCTTTCGGCTTCTTGTTACTGGAACAGGGCAGGATCTCAGTGTTTGAGTTCCTATAAATACTGTTGAGGAGGTGTGGTGTATAGCCTCCAATGTTCTGGGCAGAGAGGAAGTTCCCAGGCTAGTGTGCCTTTTCTTCTTTTGTTCCTTAATTACTGGAGGGATATCTGGAGTGATTTCTTGAGTGATATCCTGAGTACCACTTGGGTGGGTCATTAGGTGTGGATTAGTTGCTAAAGCCTTCGTGTCTTGACCTCTTGAACTTGGCTTGAACTTGGCTCTGGCTTGGCTTCGTGTATAGGGGCGAGCTGTGGTTTTGTGGCCTGTGCCAGCCAGATCTGTGTAGGGATTGCAGGGGGGTGCAGTATCCGGAGGTTCCACCATGGTTTGGCTACTGGATGGTGTCTGTAATTTATCTGTGGAGAGGGTCTGGGTTTGGGTCTGGTGTGGTTGATTGGTGATGGCGTTCTGTGTGCCTCTGGATCTGGTGTCGGTTTTTGTGGGGAGGGCTAATTTCCAGATGTCTGGCAAGCGGGATGTGTCGTCACGCTTGTTCATGTTGTGAGGGTGTTTCTCTATCTCGATGGCTTCCATGATTATTCTCTTGTGGTGATGTTCCATGTTAAAGAGCAATTTGGAATCTGCAAAATTAATTTCGTGTCCTGTTTCTTTCATGAACGCCATCACCAATCAGAACGCCATCACCAATCAACCACACCAGACCCAAACCCAGACCCTCTCCACAGATAAATTACAGACACCATCCAGTAGCCAAACCATGGTGGAACCTCCGGATACTGCACCCCCCTGCAATCCCTACACAGATCTGGCTGGCACAGGCCACAAAACCACAGCTCGCCCCTATACACGAAGCCAAGCCAGAGCCAAGTTCAAGCCAAGTTCAAGAGGTCAAGACACGAAGGCTTTAGCAACTAATCCACACCTAATGACCCACCCAAGTGGTACTCAGGATATCACTCAAGAAATCACTCCAGATATCCCTCCAGTAATTAAGGAACAAAAGAAGAAAAGGCACACTAGCCTGGGAACTTCCTCTCTGCCCAGAACATTGGAGGCTATACACCACACCTCCTCAACAGTATTTATAGGAACTCAAACACTGAGATCCTGCCCTGTTCCAGTAACAAGAAGCCGAAAGCACCAGCCTGAAGATGACGAGTGAGACCTCGTCGAAACGTCGCCTAGACACCCCAACTTTTACACGGGAAGACACCCGAGGACACCAAAACCTGCATTCCTGTACCCGTGAAAATCTACGAAAGCATATATATATATATATATATTATCAGGCTTCAATTTCTCTATGAAACCACACTAATTGCAGACGTTGTTATAACTAATTTAACATAGGGAAGGAACTTTAGACAGTGAATTTACCGTATAAACTCTGAATTCCGTCCCTGTCGTCATCTGAGAGACGGAAGTTAATTGGGTTCACATAGGAATAGGTAGGATACATCAAAGCGCCACGGACATTCGAATGAGCCAGCCCCAAAGAATGGCCAAATTCATGTGCAGCCACAAGGAACAGGTTGACTTCTAAAACACAGAAAACAACTCAGATGAGTTGTTGTATTAGTATTAGCAGGGCCGGTCCTATCATTAGTCAAAGTGAGGCAACTGCCTTGGGCATCTTATGCTGGGAGAGGCAGCATTCCCCTAGACTAGGGCTGTGTACACACCATACATTTAAAGCAGCCTCCCCCAAAATAATCTTGGAAGCTGTAGTTTACCCTTCACAGAGCTACAATTCCCAGCACTCTGAACCTACTACAATTCTCAGGACTTTTGGGGGATGGGGAAGGGATGTGCTTTAAATGTATGGCATGTAGGGAGCTGGTGACATTCCACAGAGCATTTTATAAGCACAGTGCTACTGAAGGAGACCCACGTGGGTCAAAGTTGCTGTCAGGGATTCTTGAGATGTGATTCCTGCATTGCAGGGGGTGGGACTAGATGACCCCTGGGTTCACCCTGCTCCCTACAGTTTGCTAGCAAGTGCTTCTGGAAAGCATACAGATAGGGAGTGTAGTCAATAAAACCCTCTTTCCCTGTTGCTCCCTGCCAACTGCTATCCAGTGATTTCTGAACCATGTCTAGAAGCCATTGATAGACTGATCCTCCATGAATTTGCCCAGTTCTCCTTTAGCCATCTATTATAGGTGCTGTTCTAGGGATGCGCCGGGGGTGTGTGCTGTGGGTTAAACCACAGAGCCTAGGACTTGCCGATCAGAAGGTTGGCGGTTCGAATCCCTGCGACGGGGTGAGCTCCCGTTGCTCGGTCCCTGCTCCTGCCAACCTAGCAGTTTGAAAGCACGTCAAAGTGCAAGTAGATAAATAGGTACCGCTCCGGCGGGAAGGTAAACGGCGTTTCTGTGCGCTGCTCTGGCTGGCCACATGACCCGGAAGCTGTATGCCGGCTCCCTCGGCCAATAAAGCGAGATGCGTGCCACAACCCCAGAGTCGGCCACGACTGGACCTAATGGTCAGGGGCCCCTTTACCTATAGGTGCTGTTACCTGCGCTTGACAGCAAATTCCATTCATGAATTGTATATAAAACAGTGCAGAGTTGTTGTTTTTGAGGGGTCGTATTTGCGCACAACACATTGATGCCCCAAAGGGACCCGGTTCACACATTTTGAATATATATATATATTTACCTCTGTTGGTTTCTGACCAGCGTTCAGCCTCATCGAAGTGGGCATCTCCACCAAGGCCTAGCCCAGGGGCAAAAGCATGAGCCAGAACTCCGCTCCTCCCATCGAAAGGGATGTTGTCACCATGCTCTGAGTTGGAAAGGGAAAACAAGGTATTACCAGCAGTTCAGGGGGATTCTCATCCATTAGTCTTGAAGTACACAGGTTGAAGTACTCCCCCAACAAACTCTTCCTGGCTCTGAATTCTCAGCCTTATTCCTTAGCTCAGACTCATTCAACTATGGCAACTTCTGAGTTTTTTGTAACTTCAAGATCTGTCTGCGCTATTTGTGTTCAGTTGCCCTGCCATGATGCATTTTATAATGTAATTGTATTATTATTATTATTATTATTATTATTATTATTATATTTTAATAATGCTTAGGTATGCTGTTCAGAGCCATTACATTCAATTGCAGTTAAGAAACAGTAAAAAGAACAATAGCAACAACAACAACAACAACTCAGACTTACTACACCCAATCTCAAAAAAGTCTTTCGGTTTTTGGGATTGCTGTGTGTGGCTTAGATATTTCTACAATAAGTTGCTTGTGGAGTTATAGATGTTAAAAAGACAGTTGGAATTTACGGGATTATTATTTTTTTTAAAAAAATGAAATGGGACAATAGTCCACATAGTCACAGTTTATCATGCCCATTAAGCAACTAAGCATGAATAAAATCAGCTAGCTCCTACTATAGACTTGCCTTTCTAATTGATTTCCATAGAAAAGTTGTTACTGATGGCAATTTAAACTTGGATAATATATAATGGGGGGAGGGGAAGGGTAGACATCATGTGAAGATTGGCATAAATCTATAGAAGCCGTTTTCCAAAATGGCCACCTGCCATAACCCTGCAATTCTTTGTACTCCATTTTTGTTCCTAATAAGGTAAAGGTAAAGGTACCCCTGCCCGTATGGGCCAGTCTTGCCAGACTCTAGGGTTGTGCGCTCATCTCACTCTATAGGCCGGGAGCCAGCGCTGTCCGAAGACACTTCCGGGTCACGTGGCCAGCGTGACAAGCTGCATCTGGCGAGCCAGCGCAGCACACGGAACGCCGTTTACCTTCCCGCTGGTAAGCGGTCCATATTTATCTACTTGCACCCGAAGGTGCTTTCGAACTGCTAGGTTGGCAGGCGCTGGGACCGAACGACGGGAGCGCACCCCGCCGCGGGGATTCGAACTGCCGACCTTTCGATCGGCAAGTCCTAGTCGCTGAGGCTTTAACCCACAGCGCCACCCGCGTCCCGCTTTGTTCCTAATACCACCCTGTATAATTTGGATACATCAGTAACCCAGGCTGCCTTATAGCTTAACCCTACCTCCAAGTCATTTATGAACGAGTTCGAAAACACCTGTCCTGTCCAGATCCTGGGATCCAATTTTTTTTTTTTACATCCAACCTCTGTCCGTTTAGTCTTAGCCTCTGCTTCCTGCCCTTTCACCAATTACTGATTTAGAAGAGGATGTGCCCTTTTATTCCATGACTTGCACATGAGCCTTTTGTCTGAGGTTTCGGCAAAAGCTTTTCGACAGTCCAAGTGCACAGTGTCTACTGGATCATCCCTATCCACAAGCTTGTTGACACTCTCAGATAACTTAGAAAGCTTAGTCATGCTGTATCAACATCACGACAGCCACTTCCCCATGCATGCCCTTGTCCTATGTCACTCCAGTAGTGTTGACAGAGGAGAAGTGTCGGTAGAAAGAATCACATGGCTGCTTCCACTGTGAATCTCAGCAGATGGTAACATACGACCTCATCCTGCAGTCGGGAAATTGGTATGAATGAGTCTGGTGCAACTCAGTACAGAGAAGAATTGTGGTTGGCAGGTCCGGCGTTTAAGGGCAGTTGTCACAGGTGGAGTTTAGATGCCACAAGCTTTGGAGTGCCCCAGGATCTGCTAGTTAGGTAGCACCGGTGAATGGTGGTGTACAGGGCCAGATTTAGGTCTGATGAGGCCCTAAGTACTGAAGGTAATGGGGCCCTTTATAAGTCCACCTGTCCTTTTTGTCAACAGCAAATCATCACTGTTTTTTGTGTTGAATATATACTATATGGTAATTTATGGACCTAATAGGTATCTAAAGCCATTTGCACATAACAAAATATGTACATCACAGGAGCCTACACAACACAAAACACTGTTGCTGTATGTAGGTTTTATTTTATTTGTTTTTTATCTTATACAGTCAAACCTCCGTTTACGTAACCCTCTGGTTACGTAAACTTCCGGATGCATGCAGGGCAACCTGGAAGTATTTTACTGGGTTTCGCCACTTGCGCAGAAGCGGTCTGTGCATTAGGGCAGTTAATAAAAAACATTTTTTTTGAAAATGCCTGCTCCAAAGGTATTATCTTATTACACTAGGGATTATATAGCTATATTTGAAATTTCATGCATATCAGTTAATATCTTGACCCTGCTCCACAAAAATAGCTGTTTACTTGGCTGTTTTCCTATGTTGGGGAGGCTGAAATTTCAATTCAGTGGATGCGCAGAAATGCGTCCTCAGGTTGTGGAAACCTCGGGATCCGACTGGACCTCCAGAATGGATCCCGTCCACAACCGGAGGTACCACTGTATTTTAGAAATGTACATCCAGTTTTTTCCCCTTCAATTTTTTGGGGGACCCCCAAGAGAGTGGGGCCCTAAGCTATAGCTTGTTTAGCTTATACATAAATCCAGCACTAGTAGTGTAGCTATGGGGCATCAAACAGGTGTGAATGGCTGCACAATTGACCCTGCCCATGTGGCTCTTCTTCATTCATGCACATCCCACAGTTCTGTAGGATTTCATCATGGGGGAGTGGCCTCGACTATCTCGAGGGCAGACTCCTGCAATGATCCCAGGATGGGGCTGTCCTTGGAGATTGTTTGGAGACTGACACCATGCTCCTTAGGGCACGATTCTTTGTCCCATAAAAGGCTTTAAAAGGTGAAGACTGCATAAACAAGGCATTGCCTCCTATCCATCATGGTCACTGCAATCTGCAGAAGCTTCTTGGCAGTGCCATACAAGCATTGATTATAGTTTAGTAATTCTTCAATTGATAAGTGCAAACTGTTTAATTATTGTTCGCTAATATTTAATTTTACTGTTTATTATTAGATTCTAAAGGATTATTGAATATTGCATCATTTGATACAAGCTGTTTATTTTAAAGTTAGTCTGACTTTTTTGGTATCGGATCAGATTGTTATTACATGCGTATTTTTAGATACAATGAAGAAGTGTACATACGCATGAAAGCTTATACCAAGAACAAACTTAGTTGGTCTCTAAGGTGCTACTGGACAATTTTTAAAAATATATTTTTATATATTTTGACAGCGTCAGACCAACACGGCTACCTACCTGAATCTAGTGCCTTGTGTATAGTAATGTAGAAAGGTGTTATACAAATTAAAAGTGACATGAAATTAAATGAAAGATAAATAGTGTGAACCTCGGGTTACATACACTTCAGGTTACAGACTCCGCTAACCTAGAATTAGTACCTCGGGTTAAGAACTTTGCTTCAGGATGAGAACAGAAATCGTGCTCCGGCAGCGCGGTGGCAGCAGGAGGCCCCATTAGCCAAAGTGGTGCTTCAGGTTAAGAACAGTTTCAGGTTAAGAACGGACCTCTGGAACGAATTAAGTACTTAACCCAAGGTACCATTGTAAAGGCAAAGTTGACGGTGGCTACTTAGCTATGAAACACCTTCCTCTGAAGGTCCTTCATTACCAAATTTCAGACATTTCCCCAACACACACACACACACACACACACACACACAGAGTTTTAAAGTATTGAGCGAGTTTTTAACAGTTGGGGATATTTATTTTAATTGCATTCCCCCCGTAAAAAAATAATAATCTCAGGTTCTCTGAAGAAGTATGAGACACAGACATGAACAAAACACACAAGCCAAGGCAGCCTTACCATTATATGCAAAAGAAATTTCAATATCAGCAGGTCCTGTTGTTTTTCTGAACTGCAGGGGGGTCACATCGCTCCACACCTTAAATGCCTTTGCTATGGCCGCGTCTACCTTGCTTCGAGTCATATCGGGGGTGTAGTTATTAATCCTTCGAGCAAGGGAGGAAAATGCGATATTAGTACTTAGCCAATTTTTAATTAATTTATTTTTTGCATTTTTCAGAAAGGTGAAGCTCAGCTAACCTGTAAGTCAGTAGGTTCTTATTCCATCTCTCAGTTCCGAAAGTACGATACTCCAAGACATCTGGCACGCCACATCTGGGCTGATCCATTACCTGCACAGTCTCTGTATCGATCTTTCCTGTTACCTTCAAGTGAAAGAATTCCTGCATTTGTCTGATTTGTTCTTCCAGGGTATGCTTCAATACTTTTTTCACGGCTGGGAAAAACCTGTTCAGGTAAGCCTGGAATAAAAAAGGGAGAGGGGGACCATTTAGTTTGGATCTTTAAGAACATGTGAAGAGCCTGGTCTCACAGCGGCCAGCTAGATGCCTATGGGAAGCAGGCAAACAGCATTCTCCCAACTTCTCCCCATTCTGGCTCATTGCTTGCTCATTGTTTATCCTTTGAACATGCCAGTTCTCTCGCTGGCATTTATTTTTAAGTCTAATCTGCATTCCAATCACCCTCCTCCATCTATTACCTAAAAAAAGCACCTGCACTGATTTTCGAAAAAAGTACAGAACAGAGAGAAACCATTTGTTGCTTTCTGTGTACAGAAGCCATAGAAAGAAGTCCAGTAATGAAAACGTTCCTCAAAATTATGGATGGAAGAGAAATTCAATCCACTTTGCATTTAAAGGCGAATCTACCTAATTCACAGTTTCCCAAACAATATGCGACCCAAAACCCAGCTATGAGAGCCAGTGTGGTGTAGTGGCTAGAAAGGGTGGACTAAGACATGGGAGGTTACGGTTCAAATCTCCCCCTCGGCCATGTAGATAACTGGGTGACCTTGGTTAGTCGCTGCCTCTCAGCCTAACCCTCACAGGGTTGTTGTGGGGATTAAATGAGGAGGGGGAGAACAATGTATGCCACTTTGAGCTCTTTGGAGAAAAAGGTGGGATATAAATGTGATAGATTAGATGACGGGAGAGAGAGAGAGAGAGAGAGAGAGAGAGAGAAGATACAGTTTGCTATTCTCTGAATTTTGCAATGCAGTTCTTCAGTCAAATACAAAAATGTATATATTAGTAAAAAGACTATGCAAAAAGACATTATATTAGGAAAAAATTCTTTACAAATTCATGTCTAGCATGCAATACTATTACAGTGGTACCTCAGGTTAAGAACTTCATTCATTCTGGAGGTCCGTTCTTAACCTGAAACTGTTCTTAACTTGAAGCACCACTTTAGCTAATGGGGCTTCCTGCTGCCGTTGCACCGTCGGAGCACGATTTCTGTTCTCATCCTGAAGCAAAGTTCTTAACCTGAGGTACTATTTCTGGGTTAGCGGAGTCTGTAACCTGAAGCGTCTGTAACCTGAAGCGTCTGTAACCCAAGGTACCACTGTATTATTATTTTTAATGTATACATTAGGAGAACTCAGCAATAACATGCTGATGAATCTCTGTGAAGACTTGAAAATTTGCAAACCTATGTGGAAATGTGGAGAACTAGATTTAAGATTGGAAAAATGAGAAACCTGAATTGACAGATTTGCCCATCTCCCTACTCCATATAACAGCAGCAGGGCCCTTGCTCTATCGTTCTATGGCATTATCTGTTAACGCTGCGATGGCTACATACCTCAATGAATTTCAGATCCCTGATTTTCACTTCTGGCTTTTGAACTGGAAAGGTGGAGCTGCAAGGCAGAAGCATCACAGCCCACAGGAGCATCACACGCCTCATAGTGGAGGTTGCTGAAAGGTTGCCTGCACCAAAAGAAGAAAGCCTTTGGTGTATCGCATCTTGGAGCCCAAATGGGCAAGCTTATATATGCCTGACCAGTGTGGCATGTTGTAAAAATCCAGGTGACTCACTTTATGGCGCTCGCCTGCTTTTTGTGTGTGAATGGCTCTGGATGGTCAAATGTCACAACTCCAAAATGATTACGAGGAAACATTAAAGGCATGTCTTTCCTCCCCTCCTCCTCGTTGTTGACATTTCCACTGATGTCATTTCGCTTTGTCCCCATCCCATCTTTCCTTTCACTCTCTAAAACCACAGGACACAGGGAAGTTGGCTCTTCTAAATCCACCCAAAGCATCTACTGTACGACCCCACCCTCTTTGGCTTGCCCAATCTTCTTTGTTTGCCGCTGAGACGCATTGCGACACTGTCTTCTGCGTTGTCTAGCTTTCCAGGTGGAGCACTGCAAAGCAGGTGACTCGTCCACAGCTTAGGCTGTGTGGTTAGAATTCTGCACTTTCGGAAAGGTTTCTGTCGAAGGGGTTCCATCTGAGGATCCGCTGTCAGTCGAACCGCTGGAAATCTAGAAGAGGCTGGCTGAAATGGTTGTTGTAACGTGCTTCCTCCAAGAGCACAAGAGCAGGCCAAAGGCCCATCTTGTCCAGTATTCTGTTCTCACAGTGGCCAGCTAGATGCCTTTGGGATGAGAAGGACATGAGCTCAATGACACTAATTAATTAATTAATTATACCCAGCCCATCTGGCTGGGTTTCCCCAGTCACTCTGGGCGGCTCCCAACAGAATATTAAAAACACGCTAAAACATTACGAACAGGGCTGCCTTCAGATGCCTTCTAAAACTCAGGTAGTTGTTTATTTCCTTGACATCTGGTGGGAGAGCGTTCCACAGGGCGGGCACCACTACCGAGAAGGCCCTCTGCCTGGTTCCCTGTAACCTCACCTCTCACAGTGAGGGAACCACCAGAAGGCCCTAGGCGCTGGACCTCAGTGTCCAGGCAAAATGATGGGGGTGAAGACGCTCTTTCAGGTATACAGTGGTACCTCGGGTTAAGAACTTAATTCGTTCTGGGGGTCTTTTCTTAACCTGAAACTGTTCTTAACCTGAGATACCACTTTAGCTAATGGGACCTCCCATTGCCGCCACACCGCCGCCGCACAATTTCTGTTCTCACCCTGAAGCAAAGTTCTTAACCCGAGGTACTATTTCTGGGTTAGCGGAGTCTGTAACCTGAAGCGTCTGTAACCTGAGGTACCACTGTACTCTCTCCTCATGTGGTTTTCAGAGGTCTATTGCCTCCGTCAGTGGAGCCCTCGTGGCTAGCAACCACTGGTAGCCTTACTGTATATGTCAGCTTTAGTGTCAAGGAGAGGGGTGTCCCTTGAGTTGTGCTACTTCCCTTTTTTTTGGCGAAACAATTTCTATTAGTTTTCCAAATGAGTTGTGCCACTATCCGTTGCACTTTCCATGCAGTGCTCACAACTAAATTGGATGCTTGTATTCTTATTGCTCCCTGGAAAAGACCCTGATGTTGGGAAAGATGGAGGGCCCAAGGAGAAGGGGACGACAGAGGACGAAATGGTTGGACAGTGTTCTTGAAGCTACCAGCATGAGTTTGACCAAACTGTGGGAGGCAGTGGAAGACAGGAGGGCCTGGCGTGCTCTGGTCCATGGGGTCACGAAGAGTCAGACACAACTAAACGACTAAACAACAACAACAACATTCTTATTGCTGCCTTTGTATCTGGGACACACTCACTGTGAAAATGGCTACATCTTCTTCTTACTATTATTGCTGCTGCTTTCATATTTGGGACGTGCTCGTCTTCTTTTCCACAACACCCCCTTTAAATATTCTTTGAGAGGGACCCAAAAGCACTGGACTTAAAGCACATAAGAGCCTCAGAAGATCCCTACTAGATCAGATCAAAGATTGATCTAGCATCATGATTTCTTCAAAGACCAAGTTGATGCCTTAGGACAGGGATCTGCAGGCGTCTATTTGCCTTCCAGTAATTCTTATGATACCTCTGGAACAGAAAAAGACAGAGAGAGCTCTTCTTATGTTCTTAATTCTGCATTAGAGGGGTCAATGGTTTGTCTCTATCTTCAGCATTTGTCTTTCTGGAAATTAAACATAGATGCTACTGATTTCCTAATATTTTCCATGTAGACAATTGACCTTCAGCTGGTGGTTGTGAATGGTGGAAAGCACCAGTGCCACAGCCGCCATTTTTATTTTTTAAAAAGGGAAAGAAAGAGAATTATGGAGAGCATAAGGAGGCTTAATTTAGCAGAGACTTAACTTATCCCCTTGATTTCAAGGGCTCTTAAGCATTTTGAATTTTCTGGGGCCATGGACCCCACTATAAGTTGTCCCAATGTTGCAGTTTCCCTAGTCTCAATGGTGGACTACAGGCCTTAAAGAGTTGAAGGCAAGTGATAGAGATTAGACATTTCAGGGTTTCGTTTGGTCAGCTTCGGTGGCATTCTGACTCAAGGTAAGCTCATAATTTAGATAAAGCCAAATGGTGAGTGTCTGTATCTGGTGTCTAAACAATCTCTGAACCATCTTGTGGGAACCAGACTGTTTTAATTACCTACCGTCTGAATGAGACTTGGAAAATCCTTTCCTCACAAGGAAGTGCTGGGGATTAAGTTACTTCAAAAAGAACAACAATGTGCCCTTCAGCTTTATTTGTTTTGGGAAAGTTAAATGTTCATGCTTAAACTTTAAATTATTAACAGTTGCATTGTTTCATCCATTGATTTGTATGCTGTGGAATACCTTTCAGCAATGCGAAGAAATTGATTTTTTAATTAATTTGTTTAAAAATACCACAATGACTAATTATTCTGGCATTTCATTCTAAGCAGTGATGTGATGTGCTTATGATCACTTTGGAAACGACAAGTCTGATTTACAAAGAACGCTTCTGTGTAGGAATGAGAGTAGGCAGGAATGTGTAGGTTTTCATCTTAGGGTGGTTGTAGAAGTATGCAGTTCACTCTGGGAAACAAGTGATCACAGGTAAACAGCTGAGTTAAATATGGAGTGAATATTCATTCCTTCATTCATTCATTTATATTGTGCCTTTTTCTAAATGGCCTAGAGGCATTAGGTAAAGGTAAAGGTACCCCTGCCCGTACGGGCCAGTCTTGACAGACTCTAGGGTTGTGCGCCCATCTCACTCAAGAGGCCGGGGGCCAGCGCTGTCCGCAGACACTTCCGGGTCACGTGGCCAGCGTGACAAGCTGCATCTGGCGAGCCAGCGCAGCACACGGAACACCGTTTACCTTCCCGCTAGTAAGCGGTCCCTATTTATCTACTTGCACCCGGGGGTGCTTTCGAACTGCTAGGTTGGCAGGAGCAGGGACCGAGCAGCGGGAGCGCACCCCGCTGCGGGGATTCGAACTGCCGACCTTTCGATCGGCAAGTCCTAGGTGCTGAGGCTTTAACCCACAGCGCCACTCGCGTCCCTTCATTCATTCATTTAAATTGTGCCTTTTTCTAAATGGCCTAGAGGCATTAGTACAGCATTAAAATGCTATAAAAAGAACAATAAGCCTACTAAGAATGGCAGGCAAAACAAAAAGAATGGTTGCGCCAGCAAATAGCTAGGGTTGCCATATTTCAAAACAAAAAGTGAAGATCCGGACACAAGTTGTTGAGCTTTTTTGGGGGGAAATCTCAAAAGGAAGAAGTTTTTCTTAAAATGAAATTTGCCAAAATCTACACTTCCGACATGGGTTGCCATATTTCTGGATTTTCCCCGGACGTTGTTTCCAATGGCTGAATCCTGGCTATGTCTGGGAAATTCCGGATGTTTGACAACCCTAAAATAACTCACTCACACACACACACACACACACACACAGAGAGAGAGAGAGAGAGAGAGAGAGAGAGAGAACCAGCACAGTGAGAAACTAAAAGGCATTTCAAATATTAGGACAAGCATGAGAGAACAAGATGGCTACTAAAATTAGCTAAGAAAGCTAAGAAAGCATAACAAATTCTGAAGGGCAACACGTCAATTACCTCTGTGTTTAGACCCGGGGAACAGCATTTTGGTGAGCATGCTGAAAAACCTCTCTTTAAGATGGCTAGCACCCCCTCACAGAACAGAACAAATGTTATCAGAAACAGTTCTGGTTGCCTCACCTCGGAAAGGATATTGTAGTGATGGAAAAGATTTAGAGAAGGTGACATGACAGAAGTTTATAAAACCATGCATGTCTTGGAGAAAGTGGATAGAGAAATGTTTTCTCCCTCTCTCATAACGCTAGACCTTGTGGACATCCAACTAAGCTGATTGTTGGAAGACTCAGGACAGATTAAAAAAAGTATTCCTCCATGCAGAGCATTGTTAAATTACAGAACTTGCTCCCTCAGGAGGCAGTGATGGTCACCAACTTGGATGGCTTTAAAAGTCGATTAGACAAATTCTTGGAGGATAGGGCTATTGATGGCTACTATACATGATGTCTATGTTTTGCCTCCATGGTCAGAGGCAGCAATGCTTCTGAATACAGTGGTACCTCAGGTTAAGTACTTAATTCGTTCCAGAGGTCCGTTCTTAACCTGAAACTGTTCTTAACCTGAAGCACCACTTTAGCTAATGGGGCCTCCTGCTGCTGCCGTGCCGCCAGAGCACGATTTCTGTTCTCACCCTGAAGCAAAGTTCTTAACCTGAAGCACTATTTCTGGGTTAGCGGAGTCTGTAACCTGAAGCATATGTAACCTGAAGCGTATGTAACCCGAGGTACCACTGTACCAGTTACTGGAAACTGCAGGAAGGCAGAGTGATCCCGCAGACTCTCCTTATGTTCCTGTATCATGCAGTGGTCCAGTTAGGTCCTTGACAATGATCTTAGAGGACCATGTGCATTTTATCAGTAGTGTGATTTGTGAGGAGAGGTAGGTCCTGAAAGACCTACATTGGCTTCCAGCACATTTCTGAGCACAATTCAAAGTGTTGGTGCTGACCTTTAAAGACTTAAATGACCTCGGCCCAGAATACCTGAAGGAGTGTCTCCACCTCCATCGTTCAGCCCGGACACTGAGGTCCAGCGCCGAGGGCCTTCTGGCGGTTCCCTCACTGCGAGAAGTGAAGTTACAGGGAACCAGGCAGAGGGCCTTCTCGGTAGTGGCACCCACCACTGTGGAACGCCCTCCCGTCAGATGTCAAGGAAATAAAGAACTACCTGACTTTTAGAAGACATCTGAAGGCAGCCCTGTTTAGGGAAGCTTTTAATGTCTGATGTTTTATCATGTTTTTAATTTTCTGTTGGGACCCTCCTAGAGTGGCTGGGGAAACCCAGCCAGATGGGTGGGTTATAAATAAATTAATTCTTCCTCTTCTTCTTCTTCTTCTTCTTCTTCTTCTTCTTCTTCTTCTTCTTCTTCTTCTTCTTCTTCGCCGCCAGTGACATCCTCCTGGTCACAATGTGCTTGCCAGGACACAGATGAGGCAAGGCAGCAAGGTTGGGAGAATTCTGGACTGGTGCCACCAAAACAGGCCTTTCCTCACTGCTACCTATCAGGAGAACACCACCGCCTCTTCTTCTGCCCCATCTCCAACCATGAGCCACCGTAGCTTAAATCACGGCACCATCTTGACCCGAAAATTGATTGTGCTTCTGTTGCCCACATTGATTTGAGATAAAGCACCACCTTCTGGTAGAAAATGATTTTATATTATCTAAGCGAAGATAATAAAGTGAGCACCTGCAACTATGAACACACCTAGCTGGCTGCCACCTGAACATAACATTTGTTTTTAAAAGAAGGATGTTGCGGCAACCAGCGTTGGTGTATCTGGGTGCTGGCATGCCCAGGCTGGCTCTGGTGATGATTTCTGACCTCTTTGGTGCTTCCCCCATCATTTGCTACTCTCTGGATGGTCATTCGGGATAGCTCAGTCGGCAGAGCATGAGACTCTTAATCTCAAGGGTCAATACCCACATTGGGCAAAAAGACTCCAGCATTGCAGGGGGTTGGACTAGATGACCCACGTGGTCCCTTCCAACTCTAGAATTCTGTGATTTTGGGGGAGGCCCTAGGCTATACTGCACTGGACTCTGATGCCTAGCCCCTAGTGGGATGCCCTGTGTAAATACTGATGAATCAGAAATAATAAGAATAAATAAGAATAAGAATAAGAATAAAAATAATGGTTCCTGCCTTGCCCTTCCTGTTTGTAACCAGCACAGTCTGTATCCACCATATTTGCTCTTGCATTAACTATTAGGCATTAGCACATTTCCTTGATCTCAGATGAAAATGATCCGCACTCTTATTTCGTGCTTAATGCTTCACACCAGATCTTGGTGGCTGCCCATTGTTCCGTCTGCAAGCAAACATAAGGCTTTGAGGTTTATCCAGGAAGTTGTGGTGCCTTGCCTGAAGGAAAGAAGATGTTTGTTCTTGGTCTTGGCTGGCTCTCAGATGACCCCCTTCTCTCTGGACATTGCACAACGTTACGGCAGGCGGCTATATAAGAACACAGGAAGATCTCTGCTGGCTCAGGCCAAAGGTTCCGGCCATTTAGTCCATTGGCCAACTAGATGCCCTAACCTAATGGAAAGTTCACAAGCAGTACCCACGTGCAACAAGCACTGTCCCTATTGGTCAATCCCAGCAGCGGCATGTTGCCTTTGAGGCTGGAAGTATTTGTAGTCATTGTATAATCTGTCTTTCAAAAGTAGTAAACAGGTGAAATAGAGGTGTAGGTATATTGCAATTTTCTTGCATGGATAGAAATATTCCCTGGGTGACTTTATGATCAGAATGCAGTAACTGCTCATTAATTTCATTGCATCTGAGGGTTTTGTTTTTCCAAAAAAGCGGCAGGAACCACATTAACCCTTATAACTTATAATTTAGCAGAAGTGCTAAATCACGTTTTGCGCATGCACAGAAGGCCAAATCGCAACCTGCGCATGCGCAGACTCGCAGACGTGGGTTGTGAACGCACGGATCACGTTTGCAACCCGAGCGTCCACTGTATAAAGACAAGGGAAAGTTTTTTACAGTCCTTTTTTATTTCAATTTTTTACAGAGACAGGCTATAGAACCCAGCCTCTTGGATAATGGCGTTGTTCTGAGTGAATCTCCACCCCCCCACCTCTCCCACTTCCTCATTCATCACTTCTACGGGTGCCACTAAGTGCCCTCTGTCTTTGAGCTCTTTGCTCTCCTACTTTTAAGGCTCGCTTGGTTCTGGGAGATGGAGGGTCTAGAATACCTTCTAATGATAACGTGTCAGCCAGGTGTTGCTCTGGATCTCCCATGATTTCCCAACTTCCCCCCTCATCTGCCTCTGAGCTGCAACCTCCCTTAAACCACTGTTGTAAATCTACACTGTCTTCCTTTTCCTCCTCCTTAGAAGGGTCAGGATAGAGAGGCACTCTCCACCATTCCTCCTCTGCCCAGTCCTTGACAGGTAGCAAAAACACTAAGGTTTTCAGCAGAGCTCCCTCTTTGAGTCCCTTCATCTTTGAAGGTGTTGGAAGTTATTGTTAGGATTATGATGTTCCGTTCCACCTAAACAGATGTGTGGAGCTGTTGTATGTCACATGCCTGCTTACATTCCAGCATAGCTTGCTGGGAACTTCTGTTTGTGTATTGCTTTTGCTTTGTGCTTCCCTGCTTTTGCTTGGACACGAAGGGGAGCAGACATGTTTTTCCTTTGTCCTGATGCTGAATAAAATGCTTGTAAATATGCTTACATATGCCTCTGTCTGCCTTTCCATTGCAAAGAGTTCTTATCTCTGCAGGTTTGCGTGCTCAGTCTCTAAAGGTTTCTGAGGCTTGAGTCACAGTTTTGATGCTGTTCCGAGAACCGGAGTTTGCCCAGCTGCCGGCCGGTGGGCTGGAGCCAGCTGGGGCTGCCAATTGCCCCTGTCTCCCAGGACGCACCCCAACAATTATTGGTAAAAGGTCTTCACAGTGGCTGGGCGACCACTGGCCAGAGGGCAGAATGTGGGTCTCCAGGCGTCTCGGTCTGGCCTGTGAAACTTTCTCCAGTCTTTGCTCCTCATTGGGCCAAATGGTTTTACATAACTGGAATACGTCCTTAAACTCCAATAATGCCTCTTGCTTATGGGGGATAAAGTGTGATGAAACTAGCCCAATAAAGTCTACATTCATTGCTCCGCCCACTGTTAGCTCTGGCCCTGCCCACCACTGGAATGTGGCCCTTGGAAGGTTCTCCAGAAGGAACTCTGGCCCTCTGCTTTAGTTCTGTTTTGTAAGCTGTGCCACAAATTTCATTGAATAGTGAGGTAGAAATTTCCTGCAGAAAAAAAATCATGTAAATAAATAGCACAAATTTAAGATATTTTGCTTTATTATTAAAAAGGGCTTTCCTGCCCTAAAACAAATGTGAACTAAACAAGGTGGAAATAGTTCATGGTGTTGAAACACGTAATTGGTTCATCCGTTACAACCCAGTTTGTGGGTGGAACTGAACAGAGAACTTTAAAAAAAACAGCCTTGCTGTGTGTGTCAAAGTTGATCAGGCCTGAGACACACAGCACAATGTTTTCTTTGCAAAAGCTAACACAATGATATCAGGACAAGCAGGCATAACCCGGAGTCTTCCTTTGCAAGCGAATACATAGATAAATAACCAGACAGAAAATGAAAGTTCAAAGTTTCATCACCCAGTTAAGTATTGCAGATTTTAGGACTTTTTCTCCCTTGTAAAGGGAAGCCTTGGAAAAGGGGAATAGAGACTAGAGTGAAGAAATTCCCCTATATGTGAATATATCGTAAACATAAATGTCTCTAAGTTGGCCCTAGTGCTACTTCTTCTTAGGGTTGCCAAAGATGTTTAAAGATACAAGATGAATTTTATCCGTGATGCTTTGAGGGTTTCACTTTGGCAGTCCTGAGGAAGAAAAATAAGGATATTTAAGAGGCAATAAATAAATTATGCAATTAAGTTAAAATATCCAAGGAAATACTACCAATATCTACACAAGTATCTTCAGACAAAATTTGCTCAGTAAGGAAATATAGGTTCCCACCCTTATTTCTCATACATATCAATGGGGCTGTATAGATGTATAGGATTGCAGACTCACTATATTTTATGTTTGGTTTTAAGTCTTGTGGACACAGCCATAAGACTTCTGTACGCAGTATGCAAAATTTCCCTTTTACCCTGTATTCAGTTTTGTGGTGTGTGGTACCAGTAAGTATACTACTACTACTACTACTACTTTCCATTATTATTAATAAAGTAATTAATTTTATTAATATTCTGGGTGGCTCCCAACAGAATATTAAAAACACAATAAAACCTCAAACATTATAAACTTCCCGAAACAGGGCTGCCTTCAGATGCTTTCTAAAAGTCAGATAGTTGTTTATTTCTTTGACATTTGGTGGGAGGGCGTTCCATAGGGTGGGGCCACTACCAAGAAGGCCCTCTGCCTGGTTCCCTGTAACCTCACTTCTCACAGGGAGGGAACTGCCAGAAGGCCCTCGGAGGAGGACCTCAGAGTCTGGGTTGAATGATGGGGGTGGAGACTAAGTGGCCCAACATGAGCAAGTGGGATTAGTGCCTCTTCCAATGATAATGTGCTAGCCAGTGATGCTCCCCAGCCAATACATTATTGCATGGTGGGCACTATATGCAACAATGGAAAGTTATGATGGTCAATTTCCATGGACCAAAAGAAGATCCGTATTCCTACATATTCTTACAGCTTTGCATAGATCTCCTTTGCTTCGCGGAAGCCACTGAAATTAGCTTGAGGTTATAGGGTTGGGAGGGGAGTCCGATTAATATGGAATTAATTGTGGGAAACAAGATTATTCACAGGAACTTACCGTATAATCTCTGAATCCTTTGCCTGTCGTTGTTTGGGAGGTTGAAGTTATTTGGGTTCACAAAGGAATAGGAAGGGAACATCAAAGAACCACGGACATTCGAATGGCTCAGTCCCAAGGAATGGCCAAATTCATGTGCAGCAACAAGGAATAGGTTGATTTCTAAAAGATAGAAGAAGAAGAAAAACAGGGAAGGGAGTAAGGTGAGTGTCAAGTACGTATTCCAAGGGGATATATGGTGGCATGTGTCCACCTCCAGCCCACAGACACATTCCCCATGGCACATGTTGAAAAATGAAAATACTGCACATAGAAAACTGTCATAGGGACATAACAATAGCCTGCTAGATCAACTCAAAAGCTCATTTAGTCCAGTATCCTGTTCTCACGGTGGCCAACCAGGAGGGAGCCCCATTCAATTCAATGGAACTTACTGGGGTAGCTATGACTAGGATTGAGTTGTTGGTTCTGATCCTCATATCAGAATTCAGAAATAATGGTTTTCTGAATCATCCCTAGGGGCACCTAGAACTTGGAACAACCTCCCTAGAGGGGCATGCCTGACCCCATCACTGCTCACTTTTGGACAAGCAGTGAAAAGGGTATTATTCCAGCAGGCATTTTCAGGTTACCGCTTTTCTCAACTGACTTTTGTTACTTTGCCTAATATTTTGTCATTGCTGTGCATTTATCTCTGTAAGGTCTATTTTATAACGATTTGATTGTTGCTTGTGCTTTCAAGCTGCCTTGTTACACTGGGGGTTGGGAAAGGCGGAACAGAAATGAAACCAACCAACCAACAGAAACGCTCATCAGGAAATCGCTTACCTCTGTTGAATTCCGAAAAGCGCTCGCTGTCATCAAAATGAGCATCTCCCCCTATGCCTCGTCCAGGAAAATAGGCATGAGCCAACGTCCCTCCTCTTCCATCAAAAGGAGAACCGTCGCCATGGGCTGCATTTGAAAGGAAGTAACAGCTACTGTCAGCGCAAAACTTGCAGTTAGGTTAGCAGTCACAATACACTGACATTTTCCGCCTGCTCGTGTAGCTCAAATCACCCTGCGGCTATTTGGATCTCCAAATGGCCCTGTATGGACACCATATGGTTCCCCTCCTGATTGGTATTTCATTGTAGATATATTCTGCAGCATGTTCTTGTCACAATAACAAGGCATCAGTGGTGGATTCATCCAGCTTTATTAGTTGAAACTATACTGGACCCTGCTTAGCTTTGCAAATGTGCTAGCCGTTTTACTGCTGCACCACTAGGAGGACCTGAGATGCTGCCATAGCACCTTATGGTTGTCCAGAGGGGCTCTAGCACAACAAAAGCAGAACCGTACATTTGTAGTATGAAAAGGAAGTCATGGAGTATGCCGTGGCAGGAGAGAAAGCGGCACGACTAACCCAAAACTTTTTCAGGTACAGTCTTGAAAGCAGACTCAGGTGTGACCACACCAATAGCATCATGAGCAAATAGCATCATGAGCGCACATGAAAAAGGCTGCCTGCAGGCACTCCATATCAGTGGCAGCAGTGGCAGCAGTGATTAAACCTTTGGATGAAATGCACTGTTCGTTGTGCTTCCACAACTCATGTTTCCAAAGAATTAGGAATGCCTGAATAAAGGGAGTGACAGGACTAGACTGGGGAGATGTCAACATGTCCTCCAGATGTCATTGGAAAGCAACTGCTGCCATCCCTGATCACTGATACTGCTGCTGGATGGGACTGATGGGTGTTGGAGTCCCACAACATTGGGACGGTCACAGGTCTAGGTGATGGTAGTTGCTTTTTGGGGTGGCAGTTTTGGGATATATATATATTGCCCTTCAATGACCCACTTCCTTTTAAAACAGAACTATACTGTCTCTAACTGAGCTAAAGGGACCCCTGACCATTAAGCCCAGTCGTGGGCGACTCTGGGGTTGCAGCGCTCATCTCGCTTTACTGGCCAAGGGAGCTGGCGTTTGCCTGCAGACAGCTTCCGGGTCATGTGGCCAGCTCGACTAAGCCGCTTCTGGTAAACCAGAGCAATGCATGGAAAACGCTGTTTACCTTCCCGCCGGAGTGGTACCTATTTATCTGCTTGCACTTTGATGTGCTTTCGAACTGCTAGGTTGGCAGGAGCAGGGACCGAGCAACGGGAGCTCACCCTGTCGCTGGGATTTGAACCACCGACCTTCTGATCGGCAAGCCCTAGGCTCAGTGGTTTAGACCACAGTGCCACCCGCATCCCTCCTAACTGAGCTAGTTAGGGCTTAATTCTTTTCATAAGGACTGACAGGTTCTGGACACCACTAATGTTAAAGATAGGGCTGACTTGACCATGCCTCAGGCTGAAACAATCAGTTCAGGTCTGAATGGTGCAGCAAAAATTTCTAAAATGTTAGCTCTAGCAGAGGCAGGGAGCACCATTGCAAAACATATTTGCCCCTGTTTATGGACAAAGAAGGCTACTTAGAATTTGATCAGTGAAAGCATCTCCCACCCACCCCTTAGTTAACCCAGAGACAATTTTCTGATGACTGTTCCCAAGTAATGCTCCAGAAAAGGCCCCACTCACTCTATGTGTTAAAAAAAATAATGTTCATGTTTTATTTGGATAGTTCATAAATATAAACATCCCTTACCACCAGTCGCAAACCAGATTTCAATATCAGCAGGTCTGGAAGTTCTCCTGAACTGCAATGGGGTCACATCGCTCCACACCTTGAATGCCTTTGCTATTGCCTCTTCCACCTTGGACTTCGGCATATCTGGGGTGTAGTTATTAATCCTGTGAGCAACAGGGAAAACCAAAATATTAGTATCCAGGAAATGTCACTTCTGATATGATATGTACTGAACTTCTCACCCTGGGCCAGCAGGGGGATACTGTAGATAGTTATGCAAATAAGGGATTGAAAGTGACGTTCAGTGATTGGATAGTTTTAGAAAGTTGTTACAGTAACGTTGTACTGGAGCTCTATATAAGCAGGCTGACTGAGCCCTTCAGTTCAGTTCTGTCCTGGCCTGTGAATAAACAAGAGCTGTTTGGAGAATCGCTGTGTCGTCTGATATGTTCACTCACAACTTAACATGATATTTCAAAGAGAGAGAAAGAGAGAGGAGACTTTAGCAGGGCTAACCTGTACGTCAGCAATGTCTTTCCCCATCTTACTGCAGATTTTTCTGAGATATCTGAGACTCCACACCGAGGCTGCTCCATTGTCGCCATCGTTTCTTGGTTCATTTTCCCAGTGACCGTCAAATGAAAGAAACTCTGCATTTGTCTGAGCTTCTCCTCTATGCTTTGACCGCCACTTTTAAGGTGTGATGATGATGATGGGAAGTACTTATCGAGATAAGCCTGTACCAGGAAGCAAGAAAGCCAAATTAAGAGCACTTCATTGTGCATTTATTGCATCTTGCAAATGACATTTTACTGATGGTGTGATGGAGGCAGCTGGGCCAGACGTTTGAGTTGTTTCCTTTCCTTCAGGAAAATGAAAAGTTTTCATTGGCAGAACAGTGCGGGAAGTGATTTCTTTTGGCAATCTCCCTTCCTTCGCACCCTCTCTGGAAGGTCCTCTAACCCAGGATGATATGCACACCAACACATAAAATCCTACCTACAATAAGAACATAAATACGGTGCAATTTTAAAAAGCACATTGTGTAGTGGCCTCCACCAATCATCTCAATAAACTCTGCGCCTTTTGAACGGTGATGGAAATATGATACTAAGGGGGACCAATGGTACTTCCAACTGGATGGCATTCCACCATTGGGAAAGCCTCGCATCACCTTGTAACAGGCAGTGCCCATCCCTGGTATCACCAGAATGCCCTTCGCCATGGATCTTAAAGCCTGAGCATTCAAGGAGATACGGGGCTCCACCAAATATTTGGGTCCACAACATTCAGGGGTTTTGTAGACCAAAGTAAAACCCTCAGATCAGGTCCAGTAGCATAAAGGCAACTGGTAAGAAGGATGCTGTCCCATTAAGGCAAATGGAGAGCTGCCCCACCAATCCCCAGTCTGCCCTTGGTCAATCCCCTGCCTCCTTATTTACAACCAGCTGTGGGGCTGCTCTGCCTGCCATTGGCTCTGGCTCCCCCCACTGTTGTTCTTGTGCCCTACCAGCCCTAATGGGCAGCAGCCACTGCTAAGTGTCAGTGCCTGGATGGGAGATCATGTGAAAAAGTCCACTATACATTTATTTATTGAATTTACATCCCACCCTTCCTCCCAAAGGAGCCGAGAGCAGCAGCTTTATGTTGGAAGAGATGATGTACACCTAGAAGCAACAGGTCACGTGCTGCCCACAAACATTTATATCCACCCTTCACAGCAACATAATACATGATTAAAAATAAAGCCTTCCCTACAATATAGTGGCAGGACAGCTATTATTTACTGCCGATAAAAGCTTTGACGTCACATACCTCTACAAACTTCATATCCTCAACGCTCTGTGCTTCAGGGTCGTGAGCTATTGGGACAGCCAAGCTGTAAGGCAGAAAAAGTGCCATGCAGATCAGGGCGCCGTTCATTGTGGATCTTATTGAAGGACCCGTGTCAGAGGAGAAGGTCTTCAGCCTGTGATGTCTGCCAACAGCACATGGAACCTTTATATAGAGACATTGCACATCTGGTGGTAGCCCCCACTGACTCATGCCATGTTGTCACATTGTCTGTGGCTTTGTGAGTTTATGTCATACTTTTTTTTGGGGGGGGAGGGGGAAACATGAAACTCTTCTAAAGGAAAAAACCCCCACCGCTCCTCGAGTGTCAGTCTTACATAGGAAGCAACCTACCTTATTCCTCTTTATTGCGTTGTCAGCTGAAACCTCAGAGTAACAAGGAGACTTCCCCAAACCCATCTGCAAACAGTTTCTTTGCTAGAGAGATGGTCAGCTGAGGTTGTTTCTTCTTCTCCTCCTCCTCCTCCTCCTCCCATCATCATCATCATCATCATTATACAACTATCTCAAAATAATGTTCTATAAAAACAGCAAAATAACAGCTGAAAACACAAATATAATCAGAAATATATTTTAAAAAACTAGAACCAAACAAAACAGACAGTTGCGGCAAAGAGCCATATAGCCAACTGAGAAAGTCCATCGGGGGAAAAAATGTCTTCACTTGGTTCTGGAAAGTGCAGATTGTGGGCACCTGCCACATACACTCCAACATTTCTGCAATGAAAATAGGGATGTCTTATTCAATAATAATAATAATAATAATAATAATAATAATAATAATAATAATTTTACTATTTATACAGCACCCATCTGACTGAGTTGCCCCAGCCACTCTGGGAGGCTTCCAACATATATAAAAACACAACAGAACATTAAACATTTAAGAAAACTTCTCTATACAGAGCTGCCCTCAGATGTCTTCTAGAGGTTGTACTTATATGGCTTGGGGGTCAGATAACTCCATAGCCTTCAATATTTCTCCAATGAAAATAGGGGCGTTCTAAGGAAAAGCAGGACATTCTGGGATCAAATGAGAAACCAAAATGGCTTCTGTAAATCTGGGGCTGTCCCTGGAAAACAGGGACACTTTGAGGGTCTGCTATCATCTCTTGATATTCTACAAGACAGGGGCAACCACACTAAAATCCGTGCTCTGAGTTATTGCAGAGCAGGCTTCTGAAATCTTTGGAACTTGCAAAAGAAACTCCCCTGCAGACTGCAGTGACCTACTGGGTATGTAGGGGATAAGGCAGTCTCTCAAATAACCTGATCCTGAGCTGTATAGGGCCTTATCTGTTGCCAACACCTTGAACTTAGCCTGGTGGCATATTGGCAGCCAGTGCAAATCCGTCAAAGAGAGTGTCATGCTGGTAGTAGTTTGCCCATGCAAGCAATAGGAGCTAATGGGTGGGTGGGAGATCTTTGGTAATCTTTCCCTTGCGTTTGAATAAGATACCCACCAGAGCTTGTGGATGGAAATGCACCAGAACCTGCTTGTGGACTTCCTACAGGCACTCTGAGAACAGGACACTGAGCTGGGCTCCCCATTTTGTGGAAAAGAAATTTGTGAGTTGCAAATAGATCCGTGGTTCTCAAACCTTTGAGGGAGACTTTATTCACCAAGTCTGAACAACAACAGATGCAGAACTCATCTGCTGCAATTTAGATGGATACAGCCAGAATTGTTGATATTATACCTATTTTGAAAGATCAATTTTGCCTGCCTCTCTGCTTCTGAGCTCAGATTTATTTCATGGTAAACTACTTTAAAATAAAGCAATGCCTGTGTTTGCCAGTTATGTACTGTTTGCTGATTTGGTTCTGTGCTCTTTCTGTATTCCTGGATTTTGTTCAATGGGTTGGATACTGTCAACCCATTAATTTGAGCCCATATTGGATTTTTATGAGATTATGTTTGCTTTCTCCTGTTCCTGCTTTTGATCTGCCTTCAGTCCCTTTGGAGAAATAGTTAACTAACTAGATAAACTGACTAAATAAACTGTAGATGCAATCTAGTATAGGCAGTTTTGCAGCGTGTAGAGCGATCGTGTTACTGCAAGGCATATCGCTGCACGTACAATTGGTTGCAAAACGTTGGAAGGAAATGGTGACAAACACAAACGACTAAACTTACATGCTTGGAAAAGGCTGGGGAAATTGAAGGGGTAGACGAGTCACTTTCTTCAACTGTTTTATTATTTATGGGACAAAAGCAAGGGGTTTTTTTGAGAGCCCAACACAGGATAAATAATATAAGGGATAAATAATAATGATCTGCATCCTGCTCTCCTTATTTGTCCACTTCCTTTTTGGAAAGGGAGATGCCAAAGGGTGTGCTATAGTGCATTTCTGCTGATCCGTGCAATTGAAGCTTTATAATTTTCGCTCTGCACATACAGCTCCAGCATCATCACTGGCAGACAGGCGACATTCCTTATTTTCAGTGCTTGGAATGAGCCAGTTCATGCAGTTCAGTGAATTAGTTCAAAAATCTCTGAACGACAGCTGGAAGTAGTTCCCATAATTGCTGGATGAACTGAACATAGATTACTGTATTTTTCACCCTATAGGACGCACTTTCCCCCCTCCAAAAATGAAGGGGAAATGTGTGTGCGTCCTATGGGGCGAATCCAGGCTTTCGCTGAAGCCTGGAGAGCGAGAGGGGTCAGTGCACACCGACCCCTCTCGCTCTCCAGGCTTCAGGAAGCTCTATGCAAGCCTTGGGAGCCCGTGGGAGTTCCCGTTGGGCTCCCTAGGCTTGCGGATAGCAGCCTGCATCTCGGTTCCCCGACCTGGTTTGGAGGCTGGCGGCGGGGAGAAGCGCGTTTCTCCCCGCCTCCAGCCTCACAAGCTCGGGGGACAGCAGGGAGGTGGAGCGCCGCCATCCCGCTGTTCCTGACCTGGTTTGGGCTTCAGGCAGATATCCGCAAGGTGTGGGAGCCTGGCGGGAAGTCACGCCGGTCTCCCAAGGCTTGCGGAGAGCTGCCTGTTCTGGGGGCTGGGGTCGGGGGAAGCTCGGGCTTCCGTGCCTGGGGGGGAAAATAATTTTTTTTCTTTATTTCCCACCCCCCCAAAACTAGGTGCGTCCTATGGGCCGGTGCGCCCTATGGGCCGGTGCGCCCTATGGGGCGAAAAATACGGTACGTTCATTTTGGAGTAGAACTTTGAATGATGTCTACTTCACTCAACTTTGAATTCATTCAAATCCAAATTACATTTTTAAAAACTCTTTAGGAATGGGGAGCCTATGGCCCTCCAGCTGTAGTTGGACTACAACTCCCATCATCCCTGACCACTGGACATGGTGGCTGGGGCTGATGGGAGTTGTAGTCCAACAACATCTGGATGGTGACAAGTTTGCTATCCTTGCTTTTTTCAGACTCTTTGGGGCTTCAAGATTAAAGATTATAATAGTTGAAACAAACAAATTGAGCAATTCACATTCCACCGCACAGGAACTTTATAGGAGGATGAATACTTTCAAATTTTTCTAAGCATTGTTTAATGTAACTGTTACTTTAAATCTGTGCTGATGTTGAACAACAGATGGTTCAATGACTGCTCTTCTCGCTTTCCTGTTTTGGGTGTGATTTTATTTGACTGAAATTGCCAACTTTACCTAAGAATTTTCGGCGAGTCATCTTGGAAAGTTGGCAGGTTTATGCACTAAACCAATAAGGTCAGAAACACTTCAGATGCCAACATACCTTGATATTTGAAATGAAGAATTTCATCATGACTGAAACATCAGCCGTACGTGATCCCTTTGTGCAATGTTGAGAAACTGTAGCTATCTGTTAGCCACAAACCAGGAAAAAATAGCTATGAGTTAGTCTTTTGTCCACCAAAGTCTAGAGTGGATTCCTGCCATCGTGCTCCATCGTCATCAAGAAACCACTTCATTTTATAACCATCTCAAGCCTCTCCACAGATCCTCATGACATTTCTCATTCTTTCCTTGTAGCCCCATGTTGCTGAAATGGAGGAAAGACATTAAGTAGCAAAAGCATAAAAAAGTCATGATCCGTCCTAACAAAAGCCCTCTGTGACTAAGCGATGGGCAGCTGAGTCCCTTTCTGAACCAAGTCAATTTCATACATAATAGTTCATAAGTCTGACCTATCCTATTCCTGCGTTAAAGTCATTTAAACAAACAAACAAACAAACAAACAAACAAACACTACATGAAAAGTCATATCTAATTATGAACTTAAATGCACATTTTATAACAAAATCATACTTTATTATATTATAAAGTTATTTTTTGATGTGTATTTAAACTCAGTGTGGACATTTTTAAAGACAGTTTATCATGAAATAATCATTTAAATGCATTTTGGCACTTTTTTGTGATGAAAAAGTACTTCTCTTCAAGCAGTGCATAGTTAAAACTATGCATCTCATTCCCACAGATGTCTTCTAAAAGTCTTGTGGTTACTTCCTCCTTGACTTGGGGGGTCGCACAACTCCATACCCTCCAACATTTCTCCAAGGAAAATAGGGATGTCCTAAGGAACTGATGTCCCATGGACTGCAAGAAGATCAAACCTATCCATTCTGAAGGAAATCAGCCCTGAGTGCTCACTGGAAGGACAGATCCTGAGGCTGAGGCTCCAATACTTTGGCCACCTCATGAGAAGAGAAGACTCCCTGGAAAAGACCCTGATGTTGGGAAAGATGGAGGGCACAAGGAGAAGGGGACGACAGAGGACGAGATGGTTGGACAGTGTTCTTGAAGCTACCAGCATGAGTTTGACCAAACTGCGGGAGGCAGTGGAAGACAGGAGTGCCTGGCGTGCTCTGGTCCATGGGGTCACGAAGAGTGGGACATGACTAAACGACTAAACAACAACAACAAAGGAAAAGTGGGACATTCCAGGATCACATCAGAAACCGGAATGGCTTCTGTAAATCTGGGACTGTCCCTGGAAAATAGGGACCCTCCAAGGGTCCCTGGGCATCTGGTTGGCCACTGTGAGAACAGGATGCTGGACTAGATGGTCCATTGGGTTGACCCAGCAGGTTCTTTGTATGTTCTTGTGAGGGCTGTATCTCAAAATTTGGAACAGTGCAAAATCTGAAGGATCATTCTGCTCC